CGGTCATCTATCGGAAGTGCATCGGTCATCTATCGGAAGTGCATCGGTCATCTATCGGAAGTGCATCGGTCATCTATCGGAAGTGTATCGGTCATTCCAATAGCGAATTTTCCTATTTACCATATTACCAACAACCACAAATTGTACAAATCTGAACAGTACTGACAATTCTTACGAAAATAATTTACGTAATGAATGAAACGATTCATATTTCGAACAATTTCTATTTCAGTTACCCATCGACTGACAGAGAGACACCAAAAGCAACAGGTATTGTTTGACCGTGTTATGAATATCACCAGAATCAATTAGAACCTGACAGGTGCAGTAGTATAACCCCACCCTTTTATCAATGTCGCTTGTTCTTTGAATATGGCACTAATTAACACGCGCTAAGAACAAATAATTGCGTCGCTTTGTGCAGATTTGTTATCATATTTATAGTAACAATGATAACTAGATAATAACAGCCTATCATGGTATCTAAACCTATGTCCTGTCAACAAACACTTCCCTGGCAACAATAACTATGGAAACTAGTAATCAACAAGCACCGGCCCTAGAAACAGTAACAATGAACTATCAACAAACATTTGCCGTAACAATAGTAACAAAAATCCAAAACTCACAAATTCAAGTCGTTCGTTGTTTTTTTTCCTCCTTAAAGTGATCACAGAGAGTAGAGAAATAGCCGATATTCCGTATTTTAATATTATTCGCATTCGTATCATAGATAATCAGACCATCCCAAATGATCGGCAATTTATTCCCTAATTCATATTGATGTTTCCGACTAAGAATAGCGAACCAATCACTTTGCAGCAGTTTTCTCTCTCAGTTGAACTAAAATCTTTCCCACAAACAAATAACACAGTATCGTTTTTAAGAATACTACAAGGATGACGAGACAATTTGCTTTCATTCTCAAAGGACAATATACAATTGAAACAATTTATAATCAATTTTCTGCGATCAGAGTTATCGAGATCGAAATCTCGAGTTATTCTAGCTAATTTGCTGAGCTTGTGGGACATAGCAACGTAACTAAGGGGAGTCGGAATCATGAATTGCGCGGTTTACCTTGGCATTCGAGATCAAAACGCCCTTTGACGGCAAAAAACTCGGACAAACAAAAGGTATACAAATTGGTAGTCAGGGAACCGATCTTAAAGAATTAACCAATCGCGATATACTATGCCTGACTACAAAATATTGGTAACCGTAAATTCAGGGTTACTTCTGAGGCAGATGGTACGAGAGACTTGTTAACCGTAGTTGCCATTTTTGACGCAATTGAGATAAACGCCATCAGAATATAATGAATAAATCTCATCTGGAAAGTCTTTCCATGTTAGAGCTGTGTGACTTTTATAGAAAGCGGAATGAAGCCATCTTCTGTACGACTCCCTTGGGTAGATCTAGTGACCAAGAAACTATGGCCGATGGGTGTGACTTCGACCAAGGTTTAGTTTCGGAGAGACAACAGAACCAACGTCAAAATAGTTTACCACAAACCTCGAGTTCTCATGCGACGAAAGGACGAAAAACGAAGGGAAGAGGGGCTGGCTTTACTAGTCAAGTGACGGGCAATTGGCAAACCGTAATGCCGAGAGAGCGTCGTACAGGTCCTGGAGAACCACAGCTGCAAGGCCAAGCGATAAATGAATGCCAGTATCAAAATTGTAATGCTGTAGGCAATACCATGAGAGGAGCAGCATCAAGAGCACACGAAAGACGAAGCCTAGCTGGAAGTGAAGACACTCGCCATTGTTGTACTGCTACACCACAGAGGACATTCCAACACGGACAACGAGGACCTACGAGACAATCAAAAGCTGAACGTGAAAGCCACTATCAAAGTGCACTAAGAGCGTACCAGCAACACTTCATGGACCAACCTAATCGCAGACATTGATACTTTCCGAAACGTCTTTTCACTGTGTATAATTTACCCTTTTTTCATTACTGTTTCATTAGAAACACCGACGCAGCTCACACTAGTTTTTAGCTAGTTATTTCTCCACAAAGACAAACAGTACGGTAAAGAACACCGACGCAGCTCACACTAGTTTTTAGCTAGTTATCTCTTCACAAAGACAAACAGTACGGTAAAGAACCAAAACTTCAACTATCCAAACACCTTCAAACTTCACTAGAACATTGGTTTTTTTTACAGAAATCGAAACTAATACTAAGAAATAGAGAATTTGAAGTGGAGTATTTATCATCGCAACCTTTCGGCAGCTTGGAAGGCGTTCCAACCTACTATACATACTAGAGCCCAACCTAACCATAACGAGAGGAAAATGATACAGCAAGAGGACAATAGGCTTTGCAGAAATGTCGTTCTATATATATATAGTTTAAAAATACTGGGGAGTTTACCATTTACCCGCAAAAAAAACGGAAATTCCGGTTGGGAAACGAATGGTATGTATCATTCTGATTGAAAAGTTGCGAAAAACTCGCTCTTTCAATTGAAGTAATCCACTTGTCCCGCTCTTTTCGGTTCTTTCTGTAGACGCGTGTTCCCTGATTTTTCGAAGTTTCCCGCTCTTTTCTTACCACTGCGAATAACCGGATGGATTGGTTTAAATTGTAACCACTGAACTAAGAAAAAAAATGAATGTATGTAACCATAGCAACCGCTGTATATTAAGCTATTTATTGCATAGTGTTGTGCTTAACAACTTTACATGACCTATCTCTGTGAGGGACTGAATGAAATCGAAATGGCTTTCAGTTTCTGGACTACATACGAGAAGAATTATATTTTCTTTAGTTTTCTGTTTACTGTAATAAAATGAAAGGTTTTTGTATCATTTAAATAAAGTAACTATTATACACCATTTATTATTCTTTAATACCTTGCTTCCCTGCTTGCTTGTTTACTTGCCTCCTGCCTCCCTTCGTTGCTTGCCTTCTTCATTCCTTGCTTGGTTGTTTCCTTTCTTCCCTCTCCCTTGGTTGCTTCATTCCTTCCTTGTTTTCTCTTCCTTCCACACTTTGTTTTCTTACCTATTCCCTTATTTATCTTTTTTAAATTATTTAATTTATATATCTTTTAATAGCCTTCCAGGACTGTACAAGTTGACTAATGAGCTAATGTCTTTTAGGTTATGAAGGATCCCTTCCTTACTAGACCACATGTTACGCGGTGCGCCCCACGCAATTCCTCCATGGGATAAATAGCGTGACAGTCACGCTCAATGGACTACAGGACTATATTCTGTCACCAAAGATGGCGTTACAGTTGCAAAGTTGAGTATTAAAAGAACTAACTACGACATTCTGCGAGAGGACTAATTCAGGAGAATATAAATGAGCACACATTCAAGCCGTGAAAAAGCAACATAGTCGTGACTTGTCACGTGATATGTGACGTCAAAAGAATAAGAGGAGAAAAAGAAAAAATTACCAAACTTAAGATATTTTAAAGCATATATTTTAATGTATATTTATTAGGAGAAATCGTATGTCTTTATTAGTGCTATATAAATCTTTGTATAAGATATAGTGAATATCTAGACGGTAGATATCGTGTGATATGCTGAAGAAGAATTATATTTATTAATTTGTGTATTTATACTAGATTTAGACCAGGTGTATAAAATTTCTAAAGTACAAAACAGAATTAAAAAAGGGAATCATTGCAAGCTTATCTCATCCGTTGCTTCTTCCTTCCTTTATTCCCTTCTTCCTTCCTTCCTTTTTTCATTTATTCCCTTCCCTCCTCTTTATCCCTCCTCTTTATCCCTCGTTCCCTACCCTCGTTGCTTTCTCCACACTTTTACTTTTTGGCTCATCTAGCCTAAGTTTAATAATATATCAACGCTACAATGGCCATTTTTAAACGCTATAAATGGGTGAGTATTTTGATATAAGCGAATAAACTTCAGTGTTTGGGATTCCTGTGGTAAGGATTACGTCAGCCGCCCGCCATTTTGAATACTTACAGACAGCTCAAAGACGCAACAAAATCTCATTTTCAACACCGAAAAATGTCTTTAAAAGCAGCCATAAGAAAACGTAAGTATTCCCCACAGACAGAGTTAAATATTTTATGCTTCAAGGTAGTAAATTTTCAATTTTCTTGCTTCTTTTTTTCTTTTTGAAAACAAGAAATAGTGGAGACAGTTTTTCGTCCACTTTACAAAGAAGGCGAGTGGAAAGTAAGAATTTTATATCTATAGTTTTTAACTACTCTAAATTTTAGATAATATTAAGCACTTGTTTTTTTAATGTCTTGAAGGTGCTGGTTTTAGATTATTTGGGTAAAAAGATTATATCTTCGTGTATGAAGATGCATGAAATAATAGACAATGGAGTAACAAGTAAGTTGAGAATAACGAAATGGAAAATTAAACAAAAATTTGTGATATTTTATTGTTAAAAATCCAAAAGACTGATTTTTTTTTTTTTTTTTTTTTTTACTTCAAAGTTCTTTTGAACGAGCTAAGATTATTTTGCTTGAGCGACATTTGAACGAGAGAAAATAATATAGATATTACTTAAGCTTAAATAGTAGTGCTCAAGGGAATGACACTTGATTTGGTCTATGAGAAAACATCACGCCTAAAATCAATTTATATAGTTCATTGATAGTTCTTCATTCACTAGTACAAATATTCTTAAAGATGTTTTTAATATAGTCGTAGAAAATCTAGAGAGACATAGACAACCCATTCAAATGCTTGAAGCTGTCTATATACTGACTCCAGATGAAATGGTAGGTTTGATAAATATTAATTTATGCTCTTTTATACTTAATAATTTTTGGCATTTCATCAATCCATTCATCCATCCATTCATCTATCCACCCTCCCACCATATCGGCCAATATCCGCTTATCCATCCACCCATCTAATTATCTATCTACCTCCCGCCCACCCATCTATCTACCAATTTATTCATACATTCTTTCAAAGTCCGTCCGTCTGACTGCCTGTCTGTCTGTCTGTCTGTCTGTCTGTCCGTCTGCTCTTTCATCTAAAAAAATGATGCTTTTACAGTCCTACTTTTATTGCTTATTTTTCTGCTAAGTCTATCCAGAGAATCGTGGCAGACTTTGAAGAAGGACGTCCACTTCGTTACAAAGTAGCTCATATCTTCTTCACAGAAGGTAGTCGTATAGATGCATGTGATCATTTATTGATTGTTTGATTCATTTATTTTTCTTTTTGTTTGCTTTTGTTCGTTTGTTCGTCTATTTGTTCGTTGGTTCGTTCGTTAGTTTTCTTCGCAATCTTACTCCCTTTTGATCTTTCGATTTTTCAATGTATGTTGGTTTTTTTCCTCTAGTTCTTTTTTGCTTTCGTTACCTCCCCCCATTTGTGTTGTCTTATCATATTTTTTTTCCCATTTCAGTTTGTCCCGATCACTTACTCGCGCCTCTTAGAATGATTCGACCATGTAAGTTTCTAGTATCTGCCAATTACTCACAAACCCTTACATTATCTTGATATTCGATTGATTGTTTCTGTTAACCAATCAAAATGCACAAAAATCCACCAATCACAATGCTCAAAACGAAATATAACAATAAATCAGGCTATCTAAAACTTTCAGATGTGAAAACCCTGAAGGAGATTGACATAGCATTCGTTCCTCGAGAAAAGCAGGTGCGTGCGCATATTACAGCTACGGATACCGCTGTAAGTCTATCAATTAATTCTTATGGTTTTAAACCTTATTTTCAGGTTTTTTCTCTGGATTGTCCATGGGCGTTCAAGAAGTTTTATAGCACGACTGTGCGTAACGCGGACCGCATTGATAACATGGAGGTAATGTGACTTGCAAGGTGTTAGTATTATTCATTCACGTGACCAACAAAAAGAACTTCAACTAGGTTTCCACCTACCCCCCACCCCCTATCCCCTAGGTGAAGTGTAAGAATTGCTTCAGAACGCACTTTATATATTATAGTACTTTAATACTTATTACTAAACGTCATGGTGAAATCAATTTTATAGAAAATGGCCGAACAGCTAGCGACGTTATGCGCAAGTCTTGGAGAATACCCTAGTGTTAGATACAGACAGTAAGTATTGTTACACAAGCAGTAAAGCAAACAGTGTTACGCACAAGCAGTGCAACGGGTGGTGTGACGCAAACAAGTGATATCACGCTCAAGCAGTAGAGTAGGTAGTGTGATGCACAAGCAGTTTCTAACAGTTTCATGCGGGACACTGTTGAAAATAATAAACGATAAACCAGTTTATCGTTMATTTCTTTGTGGTTTTGTTTTGCAGTGAGAGCTCCAGGCTTGGTGAGTTCGCTCGATTTTTGAAGGACAAACTTGATATTTACAAGTTAGATGATCCAGCAATGGGTGAAGTAAGTAGTTGCGAAGTAAGAGGGGAGTTAGATTGTAAAATATAGTAGTCTAGTATGCATGAACACGAGTGGGAGGGGAGCTAAGACTTTATGTCTCTACCCAACCCCCCTTCGTTTTTAGCCCCAGCATCTCTGGGTTCCTGTCTGTCTGTCCACTCCTCTACTGGCTCTATTATAAATGTTTCTATTGTTAGTAAACATATCTTCGTTTATAATACTAATTTCCCTTCATCAGGGTAGCCCACAGAAGAGCAAGTCACAGTTACTCTTACTCGATAGGTAAAGGAGTATGTCATACGAATTATTGCTAATAATTGGTATAGAAAGCATTTGGATTACCCTCTTGGATAGATAAGCCCCTGCGCGCTCTTCTTAACAACACGTCCGTATGTATCTTGTCTATTTGTTTTGGTATCATTTCCAGAGGTTTTGATCCGGTGTCGCCATTACTACACGAACTAACCTATCAGGTATGTGAATTAGTGGGAAATTGTTGCTTGAAAGAAAAGCTCTCTTTTGAGAAATATTGATCTAACATTTGTTGCTGGTTGTTGATAGGCCATGGCTTACGATTTGCTGGATATCCAAAACGATGTCTTCAAATACCAGTGAGTATATACCCGACCAACCGACCGGTCTGAACGGACGGACGGACCGACGGACGGAACGATGGACGGACCGACGGACGGACCGACGGACGGACCGACGGACGGACCGACGGACGAACCGACGGACGGATACATGAATGAATGAATGAATGAATGGATGGATGGATGGATGGATGGATGGATGGATGGATGGATGGATGGATGGATGGATGGATGAATGGATGGATGGATGGATGGATGGATGGATGGATGGATGGATGAATGAATGAATGAATGGATAAAGTCTTTCCTATTTTCAGATGCAGTACAGAGTCTCAGGCAGAAGATTATAAAGAAGCAATACTTGATGGTATCATTGTCATATCTTTTCCACATATTCCCATTCCATTATGTCTCGTTCATCTTTTCATTTCCGGTTTTCAGAGGATGATGAATTCTGGGTAAAACTTCGTCACTTGCACATCGCTGACGTCACAAGGTAAAATAACAACTTGAACACGCGTGGGGCCGAGTACATCTCCCTTGAAAACATGTAAGACAACTTTGGAATCAAACTTGATTTATATTTTTGACTTCAAATTTTAGAAAAGTTCCAGAAGAAATTAAAACATTTTCTGATCAGGAGAGACTTCCCGTGTCTGATGATAAGGTATTTTTCTAACAAGCTATCCCTCTGTGATCCATCTATTAAAGGATCCACCAATCCATCCATTTTATCATCCTTCCATTCAACCATCTACTCACCCGACCAACGATCCATTTATCCATCTATCATCCCAGTCGACTTCCATCTACCCATCCACTTACCACTTCCATTTACCAATCCATCCATCTTTCATTCCCATACATTCATCCATTAATCCTTCCTTCCAATTTTCTCATTTTATTGTTTAGTTGAAGGATTTACAGAGTCTTCTGAAGAAAGCGCCAGAATACCAAAGACAAGTCCGAAAGGTAACAACCACATGCAGCTAACATATTCTGAATTTCTTTTCGATATCTCTTCTTTCTTTATATAATCAATATATCACTATATTTTCTGATTTATTTAGTTTTTAGCTCACTTCACAATTGCTGAAAACTGTATGAATCTATACAAGGAAATAGTGGAAAAGCTGTGTAGGGTGGAACAGGTAAGCTGGCTGTTTCTTAGCAGTCGATATTAGTCTCTTTCCCATTTACTTCTTTATTTATTACAAAGTTCTAAATTTAGAACCCATTCATCGTTTATTGTCTTTTGTCATTTATTCTTGGTAGGATTTAGCAACAGGCGAGGACAAAGAGGGAGAACCCCTTAAAGAACCGGTTGTCAGGCATATTATGCCAATATTACTGGACCCTAAAGTGAGGTAAGTAGTGATGATAATGATGACAAAGATGGCGACAAAGAGGGAGATCCCATCAAAGAACATGTGTAAGGCACGTTATACTAATGTTACGTTATATCAAACAGTTATCTGTCATACCTGTAAAAGTAGAATTATCGATCGTTCTGTTTCATGAACCAATCATTTGTTCCACAGCACAAATAATAGAGTCAGGGTCATCTTACTGTACATATTGTTAAGGAACGGTATGTCTGCCCTTTTATATGATGTTAATCTCTTTCGTCAGCCGTTCCTCTTTGTCTGAGGACCTTGTTAATTTTACTTTTCAATGTAGGCATCAGTGAGGAAAATTTCAACAAACTTTGTGAACATGCTGAGATAACTACGGCAGACCGGTTAGTTGGTGATACCTACCCTTCTACCTACCTACCCACCTACCCACCTACCCACCTACCCACCTACCTACCTACCCTGTCCACCTACGTTCCTACCTACACACCCTACCTTCATGCAGCCCTCCTTTGTACTTGCTTATCATTTTTCTTTTCCCCTAAAGAACAGCCATATTGAACATGGTCCATCTTGGTATTCCAATCACTCTAGAGGTATATTTGTCTTGTCAATATGTTGTTATTTATTACTAAAAACATATCCCTGTATTACTAACATCTCATAATATATCTTATTAGACTTGCTCTAGAAAGGTTCGAGTCAAACGTAAACAGCGTACGGAGACCTTCTACTTAACATCTCGATGGGTACCCTATGTTAAGGACTTGATAGAGGTAACTATAGAAGCATCTTATTACTAATGTCCCCTTTATCTTCTAGTATAGCTAGTGAGTCTCTTCATATGTTGTATTGCGATGCTTATACTTGTGCTAAAATGAAATTTGTTTTCTCTGTCGTTAGGATGTAACTGAAGGCAGACTAAGTGATAGACTGTATCCTTACTTGATAAAACGATCCATCGATCTATCAGGTAAAGAAAATGAGAAATTGATTGATCATTATTAGAAGGGTATTATCTTTATCAGCCCCGCCACGAGCATTTTCATTATCATAATAACCATCATCATTACTTTAATCCATTATCATCAACTCACGCCACTAAAATCACCAACATCAGCATCATAATTATCACCATCACTGTCATTGTCATTATTACCATCATCATCATAACCATCATCATCACCATTACAATCACATTCATCTTCACCCTCATCATCATTCATTACCATTACCATTATCATCATCACCATCAGCATCATCACCATCATCATCATCATTCATTACCATTACCATTATCATCATCAGCATCAGCATCAGCATCATCACCATCACCATCATTCATTACCATTACCATTATCATCATCAGCATCAGCATCATCACCATCATCATCATTATTCATTACCATTACCATTGTCATCATCATCATCACCATCAGCATCATCACCATCATCATCATCATTCATTACCATTACCATTATCATCATCATCATCACCATCAGCATCATCACCATCATCATCATTCATTACCATTACCATTATCATCATCATCATCACCATCAACATCATCGCTATCTTCATCATCACAATCACCATTACCATCATCATTATCATCACCACTTCCGTCACCACATCCATCACCACATCCATCACCACATCCATCACCACATCCATCACCACATCCAT